TTAAAGCATAGTTAAACAAAAAACATCCGAATGAAATTGATGAAAATAATGGATTTTACAAAATCGATTTGTACTAGGGGGTATTTTTTAATTTTTCAAAAATTAAAAATTAAAAAACCAGTATTCATGGCCAAAACACTCTCCAACCTTTACAAAATGATAAAAAAATAAAACATTAAAAAACTACAAATAAACCCCTTATTTTTTGAGATTTTATATATATTTTTTTGAATTTTTTTTAAATACCCAGCCAGATCACCAAAAACAGCCAAAACAGGACCAGCCAGTGCTTGGTTCTTAACCGGCCGGTTCAGAGTTGAAACGAGCAATATTGCGAATGCTGATATACATAGAGAGGGAGAGAGAGATGAATATACAAATTGATACTATCGTGTAGAGAGAGACTTCTAACCTCGAAGAGAGAGAGAAACAGAGAGAGTAGCCCATTTGGCTCCTTAGAGTTACATGAAGATGGCTCTTCGAGAAAAATATAATTGTTGAAAAAATGGTTAAATCTTACTTGGATATCATCAAAGATGGGTAAATCATGTCTACAAGTAAAATGGAAGTTGCATTTTCATTGTTTAGCTCTCCTAGAGTATACATTTCATGAAATGCTTAAGGTAATCCAATTTTTATTGAAATCATTATAATGCAAGGGCCAGGTTTATACAAGGTGTCATTGGGTGAGTGTGGCTATTAAAGGCCTTATGAATGCTTATAAAATGAAATGGTATAGTGGAATATGAACTCAATGAGAGTGTAGTCCCTCGTGGACCATACTAAGCAAACAATGTTTGCTGATACTGGACTGAGCTTGACAAGTTAAGCTAGTTGGTTGGAAAAAAACCTATGTTACTTGGGCATAAAAAAACTATCCGAGTTCTAATAGGTCATCCATTTATGAGGTCGAAGTATGCTTGGATGAGTGAGCCGGGAGATTGTGTAGCCTTTGTGTGTGATGGTGGCCTTTAGAGATGGGGTCAAAGCCTCATCCGCGAGCCATCACATGACATGCATAATAATATCCGTTTTGGGAAAGCGCATCACCTTTTAGGGTGAAACTTATGCATGTGCGAGAGACACCCTTATGCATCATAGGAGTTGTAGTCGCATCAGGTCTAGGTGACATTGGTACGGAGAGAACCTGAAATTCACAAACTGGAATTAGACCCATTAGTTCATTTGTCATTGGTGACCCACTAATGAGCCCCTGCATGGACTGTGGGTCATGAGAAACACTGGGTCAATTTGATAAAACAATTGTTGACCGTAGTCCACAGTTGAAGGTGGAGTGCCCTAGCGTTTATTTATTTAATTTCTAGACCACATGGATCATTTTCTCATCTGATGAAATTAATTATGTTTGTTTAAATGATATGTGAGTTTTAGATTTATTATTTGAAATTTTTAATATTTTATTTATCAAAATTGGATTATAAAAGGGAAAAGTTTATATAGAGCTAAGGTTTTAAACAATCAAATTCGAGACTACTAAAAAATCTCACTAGAAGAGGTTTTTGTATGCCAAAATATCATCAAATTGATCATCTCGGCATCAAGATGCATTGACATAAGAAAACAATGGAGTTAAAGTTTTTGAAATAGTATTATTTTGTAACGCATTTTTGATCGTCAATTTTCAAATGTTCATAGATTATACTATTTTTTAAGCTTTAAACTTTACAAATAAAGATGAAAAAATATTTGAAGGCTATTACAATGATTTCCAATATTGAAACCACATTTCTTGATTCTATTTGAAGTCTAATTTGATTGTTTAGAGCTTAGGATCTATACAAACCGCACCTTTTATAAACACAAAGATATTAATTTTAGATTGATTTAAATATTCAAATTTGATTTTATGGATTTGTAAAAATCATATAATTAATTTTAATAATTTTAATATTGCATAGGAGATCCAATATGTTAATGGGCCCACCATTGCATGTGGGTGGGGCCCATGAGGTACCACCTAGGGTGGCACACCCCACCCTGATGAAACTTTCCTTGTGTTAGTTAAAGCTTTAGTTTGAATAGAGTTTTTTAAGTGTTTTAAAAATATTTTGCCTTGATGAGGCTTTCAAATGATTTTTTGAAAGCACGAGAAGGCTTGTGCATAATTTTGGTAAGCACTATATTATGAATGAAATTATGTTTTTTAATTTACATTGATGGGAAAATGATTTAGGACTTGGGGATAAAGGTTATAGCACATTCCATAATGTTAATGGCCTATCTATGAAATTGATGACTTAAATCTCTCATCCCACAAGTCACCTTAGCACATTCCATAATATTAATGGCCTATCTATGAAATAGACAATTCAAATCTCTCATTCTACAAGTTACCCAAGATCAATGATTCATATTCAATATCACAATAAGATGCAAGTCAAGGAAAAACCTAATATTGTTCAAAGCATATAAAAAAAGGTTTGTTTCTACCCAAAATCTGTATTCCTTATCTCGTACACCTAATTCCCATATATATCTCATATCCCACAAAAGGCATGCCCCACTTATAATTTCTCTCTCTTAAAAATGTTTTTTTTTATCTCTCAAGAGACTAAAAGGGATAAATGTTTTTTTTTATCTCTCAAGAGACTAAAAGGGATACGCCGCACTCTCTCATCTTTGATGTCTCTCTCATGGTGGTTCTCTCAACTCTTTCATAATCGCTCATATCTCATTGAGGTTTTAGACCATAAGGTTGCAGTGGAAAAGAAAAATATTTTTTGCTAAGGGGATTCACTTAAGGGTTTGAGATTAGTGATAAATTAGAGGGCTTGACCTAAACTTGCATTCCCAGTTGAGATTGAAGGTTGACCGTTGATCTTGCGGCATCGGATGGTGGTGACTCAATATGGGGTGTAATAAGCACGGTTGAGGTAATCTCTAGCACTATTTTTTTGTTTATTGTCATATTTAATTATATTGTATTTATATTCTCAAGCATAATAATTGTGGATATTTTATTTGTTTTAAAAAAAATTGGTTTAAGGACATTAAGGTTTTTAAGATATTGAATTTGTTAGTTTTATTTTATTTGAAGCAAAAGTTATTGTAATAAGACTACTTGTAAGTAATATTTGTCAAAAGAAAAGAAAAATAAAAAAAATAAGTGAAAAGAAGATAACTAAAAAATACATCCCTTGCAATTATAATGTAAATTGCCTGTAACAAGGTGTCCTCCTTATAAAGTAAATTATCTAGAGATATAGTTATGGTGTCAAGAACCTTATGATGGTTTGACATTATGTTTTCATCCGTAGTTATAAAAATTTAAAATTTTAAAATAGTATACACTGAGCTTATCTGTTAAACACTTGAAGATCTTGAAACGAGATGGTCCAAATAATTTATTACAATATGTTTTATTTTTAAGACTCGAATTTGTTTTTTCTTCATATTCATGCATCTCCAGTCAATATATACCCAAATATATATATATCTCGAGTTACAATTGACTTCGGAACACTCTCTTATTATAGAACATTTATGATGTGTACTTTACTTTAATAGTATAAAGTCCACACCTTATACATACTTTTTCATAATTTGTCAAATGAGTATATTCTTTGAATATTACATATATATTACATTTTATAGCTTCAATCATTTGTCAAGTGAGACCAACTTCATCAACACCAAGTTTCTTATAGAACCATCTCCATTTTGCTTTATACGAGACCAAACTCATTAGAGGCAAGCAACTTCAAAACTAACTGTTGTGAAGAGAGAAAGAGATAGAGAAAGAGAGGAGTTGCAATGAGAAAAATTAGAGTTAAGAAGTCTCATAGAAGAATGAGGAATTACAAAGAAAAAAACGGAAACCCTCAACGGGTCAGGCCCCATGCCAAAGTTATCGGATCCAGACTCAACAGGACCTCACCAAAAAAAAAATTTAAGTATTATATTAAATAAATATATATATATATTTTAAATATTATACTAAAGATACAAAGTTATATTTAATTTAATATTATTAAAATATTATATATTGAATATTATTTAAATAATAATACTATTCGAGTCAGGTCCACACTGACCTAGGCCCGGGCCCAACCCACCAATTCCAATTTTTTGTTCCATACTCAGATCCGGGTCGGGTTCGGGTCCATTGCCACCCATGGGGTTTCAAGTGTGAGGGAGTGAGAGCAAAGCGCGAGAAGGTTGAGGTCCATTTAGAGTAAAAGAGAAGAGAGAAAAGCCCCGTTCTGATGGGCCCAAATGGGTTTTATATATGTTAATAGTAAGGATGGAGACGTCATATTAGGTGAGACGTCATATTGAGGCATCCTCAGCTCTAACTACTAATGTCCCAACCCCATATCAGGCCCAAAGCAATTTTAAACTACTATGTTTTTCAAATCGAGTATCGTGGAAGATACAACTAAAATGCAAAAATCTTGTTTTGTTTTCGTGTTCCATTGATGGAATCTAAATTGGGAAGAGCTAACTTTTCAGAAAATACATTTCCAGTGATCCAAACGTCTTAGAGCATGAACCTCTAATTAAGATTTAAGATTTAAGAGCTTCAATGAAAGAGAGATAGAGGGAGACAAAGATAAGATAGTTATCATGACCAGACCTAACAAGTAGTCGGCTGATTTAGTCAAGAGAAAAAGTTATATTGGGCAAAAATGGCCAAAGCGGCCATGAACATGTTCGACAAGCCAAATAAAGTGGGTAATTTTTTTTAATTTATTATATATATTTTTAAGTATTATTATTTTTTTAATATAAAAAAAAGAAATTAAACCGATTCAACTGAAAATCAAACTAGTTGTAATTTCATCTTACCCGTTACTAATTCGGTGGCTAATCCATAATTATTGCCCTAAGACAACAAAAAGGAGGACTTCAATCGACTTAAGGGAAGAGAGAGCGCGACCTCACTCAACGAGAGAGATGCGAGGGCTCATCTCATTCGTGCGACACCTAGCACGCAGCACGTGCGAAGGAGGGAGCTAAAAGAACGAAATAATCTCGGATTAAATACAGGAGCGGATATAGGAACTGGTCTCTCTCTCTAGACTTATACTCTCTTTCTCTCTCTAAACCTTGTCAACTGCTTTCCTTTCCTTCCCTTCCCTACCCCAAGCAAAGCATATCTTCCTTCCTCTCTCCCCTTCCGAATCCCCATTTCTCTCTCTCTAAATTCCATCTCTATCTCACTGCAAATTCCACCTTTTTATCTCTCTAAAAACCCCTCTCCACCTCTCTCTAACTTCATCAATTAGACGCGATGGATGAAGAGTATGACGTCATAGTGCTCGGAACTGGCCTCAAGGAATGCATTCTCAGTGGTCTTCTCTCTGTAGATCGACTCAAGGCAAGCTTCACTTCACCATTATTCATTTGCTTTCTCTCTCTATTTATTTGTATTAATTGATTGCTGTGGCATTCATAATTTTATTTCATCTGTTTATTTATTTTGTGTTTTCTATAGTCATTGAATCTCTCTCTGATCATCAAGCTAGCATGCAAATTTACATTGCGATATCTCTCTTACTCGACTGATTACGCATTTTTTTGCATCTGTTATCTGTTGTTTCTTCAAAAAATGAGCATTCCAGCTGTTTTAATGCCATGTTTGACCTCCATTTTTCATTTAGGGAAATATGTTTCAATCCTCAGCTTTGATTCGGTCTGGATCATGAAGTTTGGATTAGGATATCATGATGCTTGTTGCCCGAATCAATAGTGTTTTTTTGGGGTTTTATTGATGATTTCAAAATGGGTATTGCCTGGTTGCTTTCTTGTTCGATGCTTGATAGGGTTGGATTTGTTTTTTTTTTTCTGAAATGAAGAGAATGGAAGCAATAATGAATAATTTTGATCGGATTTTAGTGTCTTGCAGAGGTCCCATTTAACTAATTTCAGTTAAGAGTTTAATGCGTGCTAATGGATGTTAATTTGCAGTGGGGCTATATTACATGCTGCTTTGATGATCCATTATTAAATGCTCTAACAACGTTCATGATGACCTTTTTTAAATTGACTGAGATTTTCAATGTTAATTTGGTTGAAATACTGATGGTCATTGAGATCTGTAACTTTTTTAATTTGGGTTTCTCAAAAATTAGGTCACAATACTGATATAGTGATTCATTCCGATTCTTTAGTTGAATCACAAGTGGTTTAGTCATTTATGGATTGATAAAATCTTGCTCTCAACATTAATAGTTAGATGTCACAATGTCACTTGCATACAAAAAGGCAATGGGTAGATAAAATGGCTGCAATATCTAATTTATATACTCTTGTATCATATTATTTGTGATGACTGGTATGCTAAAAAAAAAGGGAATTATTCCTTGTTTAGGCTCAGCTTAGATTAGGAGTCTGTGTCTTTGCTATTGGTATATTTAATTATAATTGCCCTTTACGTCTGCTCAATGTATTTCACTATTTCGTTGTCTTTTTTTTTTTTGTTGTTGTTTTGCTATGGGCGAATGTCCGTAGTATATGGACTTAGTTTTTATGAAAATTGTGGTTGATTGGGCATGAAACTTGGGTCAAGGGTGATAAGAAATGAGTCTCAGCGACTGATGCATGGCCTCTTCCAGTTTCTTGACTAAATGTGAACTTCTGTCTAATGAGTCTCAGCGACTGATGCATGGCTTCTTCTAGTTTCTTGACTAAATGTGAACTTCTGTCTTATGTGTCACATGCTTTCTCACTATGTGGTTTGGTCAAGCAGTTATTTTATGACGTTGAACTATTTCTTTGCCTAAAAAGTTTTGCTTTGATCTAATGGATCATGCTTACTGCTGAACCAGGTATTGCACATGGATAGAAATGAATATTACGGAGGAGAATCCACCTCATTAAATCTCAATCAGGTGATGTATTCTTGGATATGCTTTTACATGCACCTAATGTAGCTTGCAATTGTGGTCTTCATATTTATTGTTATGTTCCTTTGTAGCTTTGGAAAAGGTTTAGGGGGGATGAGAAGCCTCCTGTACATTTGGGCCCCAGCAGGGATTACAATGTTGACATGATCCCTAAGGTATTCTTCTTCAGTTGGTTTACCCCATGGTTTTGTTCTCTTTATTTATTCATTTGTCTCTTTTTTTTCGGTTGGTGGTGTGTATACGAATGAATGCAATCTAGCAGGCTAAAACAACCATTCTTCTTCCTATATAACTTATTGGACGGATATTGATGTTCAACTACTTTCATTGCGTTAATGATTAAACAAGTAACAATGATATCATAGAATGTGCACAGACTTATCCATTTATAATATTAAAATTGTGCTTCACATAAGGCATCCATGTTGAAGTGATTTGGTCTTGAGTTGATCTTGGTAGGGGTATTGAGTCATACAAGTAGCTTCTCGGTTCCTCTCTTTTGCTCCCTATCTGTTTCTATTTCGCTTTCTCTTGTGTTTGGCGTAATATGCACACACAAGCACACAAAGGACACCATAAAGTTTTTATGACTTTGGAAAGTCTCAACAGATCCAAATCTAAACTGCAGTTTTGTCTTGTATCATTTTTTTCCTTGGTAATTTATAGCATAATCAAATAGGATATGGTGTCCGATACTCCAAGCGGCATGGATCCCATGTTCCTAATGATGAAAAATGGAGTTAACCATGATGGGACCTACAGAGGCATTTGTCCATGTACAGTTACCATCCACTGTGCATCATCAGGAATTGGTGATTGATGCCCTTTGGGTATTGTGTACTCTGATCCTTTGAACTGAGGTATGCTTTTCTTTCCTTATTTGGATGTAAAGTTAATTTTGTGATTGGTATTTTGCCAGTTCATGATGGCAAATGGTACTCTTGTTCGTGTTCTCATCCACACAGAAGTTACAAAATATCTCTCCTTTAAGGCTGTTGATGGTAGCTATGTCTTCAATAAAGGAAAGGTATTTCTTCATTACCTGGTTCAGTGATTCAATCCTAAAGAATTCAGTGGGCTTCGTCATTTGATAATTCAAAGATAACAATTTTTTGCATTTTGTCAAATTGATTATTTGGTAATTCGTAAGTAACACTATCTATTTATCAGATTCACAAGGTTCCAGCCAATGACTTGGAGGCATTGAAATCCCCTTTGATGGGGATATTTGAGAAGCGTCGTGCTCGTAAGTTCTTCATGTATGTACAAGACTATGAGGAGACTGACCCAAAAACACATGATGGGATGAACCTTACCAGAGTAACAACAAGAGAACTTATTGCGTATACACCTTATCTCAACTTAATTTTTTTCATTCTATTAGTTAGTCATTGTTTGCGGGAATGTCATGAATAAAGGGTTCATCTATGGGCTCATAGTGAGTGTCTTCTTTGTTTGACATGATTAGATATTATTATACTGATTTCTTTTGATATTTTGTGGTACTCATGGTTAGAGAAATCAGGCCCTTTTTCTGGCTTTTTGAGTAGAATAATGTGACTTGTCTTATGGACTATGGTGAACATGTTACCAATTTGAAAAATTGGAAGTTCTATAATCTAATGGACTATGGGAAAACATTGTCTATTGGGGCCATCAATGCCCAACGGAATGATGGATGGTGACGGAGACAAAGTTTGACCTATTAGAACAGGATATGATCCCATGTCTGGGTCCTTTCTATCCCATGACCTTCCACCATTTCACTGGATGATACTGACCTCAAGGGACCATGCTTTTGTGTGGTCCATTGGACTTGGTATCTTCTCCTTCAAAAATTATGCACCTTCAATATTTCGAGGCAGTTCATGCCATACATCTCTATCCAGTTACTGCCTTACTCCATAGTGCGATCATTGGTTTTTGTGGTTATGTTTTGTTTATGGCCACATTTATCCTCGTTCTTTACAGTTCCTTGCTCCACTGACTATATTCGTCCATAAAGATATCTTATAATCAGACTCTGTGGTCCTTTCACCTTTGGCATTTGGAGGATGCAAAATTGTGTGTCTTATATATTGTGGGCAAGTTGGGTTGTTTTTCATTTTGAACGTATTAAGAAAGAAACTAGTGTTAGATTTATTTTAGCTTGTATCATACAGTCCATGCCATACATAAAATTATTGGCTAGGGAATTTTTTTTTATCTGTGGATCCAGGAAGTTTGGCCTTGATGACAACACAGTGGATGTTATTGGCCATGCTTTGGCACTCCATAGAGATGACTACTATTTAGATCAACCTGCTCTGGATACTGTAAAGCGAATGAAGGTAGGAGTTCCATAACTATATACAATCTCCGTTCTTGTTAATCTAATATGATTATTATGTTTTAGCCCCCAATCGTTTTAGCTTGTATTAAAAGGTTATCGTTATTGCTATTGTTCTTGTGTTATTGTTGTTATTACTATCATTATCATCGTTATTACTTTTTTTAAGAAAACATAATGTTTTTATTTGTCAAATGTACTTCTATATAGGGAAAATTACTAAACACTCCCAAGACGACACTTTCTATGCAACTTACCCCCAACCTTACTTTTTCTTGTTCTTTTTTCCTCAAAACAAATTTTCTATGCAAATACCTCCCAAGGGAAAAAGTTCAATTTTTTTAGACGGAAATGCCCTTCCCGTACATAAAAATCATTTTGGCTAGATTTGACATTGAATTTTGGACCCTAGTAGCACATTGCTGGAGCACATAAGTGCCGGACTGCCATAAGACAAACTACCTACCGGACCGAAATTGAGTACTGCTAGACCGTCCTTTACATAGTGCCGAAGCCCTGGAATCTAGTAATATCTACTGCTGGGCCGCCCTTTGCAACTGCCGGACTGCACTTTACACAATGCCGGAGCCCTACTACCGGACCGCACTTTACACAGTGCCGGAGCCCTATTGCTGGATTGCACTTACATAGTGTCGGAGCCCTATCACCGGATCGCACTTACATAGTGTCGTCCGTATTTTGGTGGGATAGAGGAGAGAGAGGCACGGTAAGGTAAACGTAAGGGAGGGTAGTTTAGGCATTTTTTTAAATTTTTTATTTGGTTGGGGGTATTTGCATAGAAAGTGTATTTTGGGGAAAAAAGTGTGAGAAAAAAATTAGGTTGGAGGTAAGTTGCATAGAAAGTGTAGTCTTAGATTTTTTTTTGTAATTTCCCCTTCTATTTATGTGTCATTACGTACACTTAATTCTTTTTGTACTTTTACCTAGCAAAAAATGGAAAATATTATCAGCAGTGTAACCGATATCTTATGGCTATTGTCCTATACAACGTGGTAGTAAATGAAATATTCTTAATCCTCTGAATGAACCATCATAACAGATTCATTGACTTGTTTCTTGTTTGCATGATCCTGAAGTTAATTGTCTGATGTAGTGCTTTTAAGTAGTAAATGCAATTTGTTGGAGGTCATGTGGTACTTTACTAGTAAATCATTAAGTGTCAATGTTCAAAAGAAAAAAATTCTTTATGTGTCCCTTAGAAATATTTCATATTTCATTTTGGTTAAATAAGTTGAATCATATCAAGTAGCTTCTCTAGGTATCAAGGAATTTTTGGTGGTTAGTTATTGTTTACGCACCTTGTTTAAATATCTAGAGTTTAGGATTTTCTTAAGGCAATAAGTCTTGTAAGAAGCAAGGCCCTTATGAATTCTATTGAAGGCATGTTTTAGATGCAAGAGTTAGAGATAGGGCTTGTAATTTATCCTATGGTACATATCTCCTTTACTTGAAACATTTCTTTTTACTTTTTGTGTAGAATGTTGGTTATAAGAAACCAGGTGCAACATTATAGATTGGGAGGTGCTGGTGATTTAGAATGCATCCTCTAACTCATTCTAGGATTATTGCTTATTTTTTTTATTAATGTGACCTTCTCTTCCAGAATTGTGAGATCACTGAACCTGTTCATTCTATTTAGTGGTTGGCCTTTGCTTCTTATTGTGCCTCCAATAGGTCTTATCTCATGGTTTTATGCCTGACGTATTACTTCCTATTGCAGGCAGTATTCTGGTTTTTGACATAATGTGCCATTTAAACATTTAACATGATGGCCACTTTAAGGAGTTTAAGTACATTAAAATGCATTGAACCATGGTAATATCATAGTCCATTAGGTCATCGGCATTCATTAAAATGGAAGGTTATGAAAAAGATAGTGAGAGTGCGAGACCCACTATTGGGGTAATCTCCTGCCATTCTCTTGATCACTCTTTGTTTTCCATTGCCTAAAATGACTAAACTTTAATTTGTCCTTAGGCCATTGTATTACAATGTAGTTTCCTACATAGAATTTGACAAGAACTTTGGTCTTTTTAATCTCCGAATTCCTTAGCCAATGAGAAAGACCCACCATTGGAGTCATGCCCTGCTACTCTATTGATCACTTCTCTTTCAATGGTGGGAGCAACTAAACTGACTTTGGTTTTTCCATCATATATTACAATATATTTTCCCTAACAAGAGTTTGACAAGAACTTTGGTCTCTTTAATCTCCAAATTTCTTAGCTGAATTGTTCATGGGAACATCTATGCTCTCGACTTACTGGATTTTCTTTTCTCATAGTTGTATTCAGAGTCTATAGCCCGCTTCCAAGGAGGTTCACCGTACATTTATCCACTTTATGGCTTGGGAGAACTTCCACAGGTATGTTTCACAATTTTAATATTTGAAGTCTGTACAAGTGGAACTTTCTTCACTTTTTCGTTTTTGGGGATCGACTAGGACCTTCTTTACCTTGAAATGTTTCTTGATGGATTTTTCAGGCATTTGCACGTCTCAGTGCCGTCTATGGGGGAACTTATATGCTTAACAAACCTGAGTGCAAGGTAACTTTTGTAGTATTTTGAATCATATATTTTAATTGATATTTTTGGGTTAGTAAGATACCTGGTGCTGAAACCTAGACCAAGTTATTTTTCTATCATCATGAAAGAAAAAGAAAAATAAAAAACTGAACCAACTTGCTCTTGCTGGATAGCTAGCCTATAGTGCAGTTTAGTACATGGTTTCCATGGGACCCATGTACAGGTGATGCCAAAAAAGCTTATAGAGAAGTAAATACAAGTTTATTTTCAGCATTTAAGCATAGCAACATGTACTATGTGTAAGAACCAGTTTGCATAGCCTCAAAAGTAAAGGCTGAATTGGTACATTCATCCATATCCTTCTGGATGTATCATACCTATCCTTGAGTTGCTCACAAACCTGGCAATCATGGGGAATAAATATTAGTCTTCCTGACTCCGGCTTACTGGTTCTAGTTCTCAAGTTTTCTGTTTTTCTTTCCTATTTAGTAGGGAAACTTTTACTGTTAAAAGTTGAGGCCTAGAATGGATCCTTCTAAGTTACAAACTTGAGTTTACTGAGCATGCCTTTCTTTTCTTGTTTGCACTTACAAATATTGTCTCGTTTGGTAGGTGGAGTTCAATGAAGAAGGTAAAGTATCTGGGGTGACATCAGAAGGAGAAACAGCTCGGTGCAAAAAAGTAGTCTGTGATCCTTCCTACTTGCCCAATAAGGTGAAGTTTATGTTTTATAACATATTTCTTCTCAAAAATGCTTTTATCCTTAGGATGGAAAGATAGATTTGATACTTTGATGTTTTTAAGTACATTGTTATACTATCTGATCACTGATTATATATGATTTTAAGGATTTGCTGCATGACTATCCAGTATTTCATAACCACTATTCATCATAAAAAAAGGTTATATAATATTCATAGAGCTTCACTGAATTTACGCACATTCAATGACGCAAAGTTGCCAACAAAAAAGAAAAAGGAAAAATACTTTTATTGAAGTGTTACATAAAGGGAATTAACAACTGATACGCATGGTTGCCATCCCCCCATCTGTCTGTTGTGATGGATGGTGGAGATCAATCACTGTTCTGCTTGAAGCCTGCCATTGTCCTTAAAAAGTGGAACCATGCTGATCTTCGTGATCTTCCTGCATTGTTGAAAAGTGGATGGTGTTTTGTGTAGAGATTGCTACACTTCATTTGTTTAATATACTGACCCTAAATAAAATGCTTCTATATGTTTTGACAAGTTTTTCAGTTTCAATGCAATTGCCCTTGAAAAGAAACTTCAAGGCTTTGATCATTTAAAAGAAAGATGTAATTTGATTCCTATAATTTGATCTTGTGTTCAAAACTCTTTTAAGATTTAGTATATTATTTTTATTTAATTCATTGGATTCGACATTATTTTCTACAATAATCATTGTCTGAAAAACTAGAAGCTCTTTTTATTTTGTTCTTCCTTTTTTTGGGATAATTAACTAGAAAGTTTCATCAAATGTAACAGGTGAGAAAAATTGGAAAAGTTGCGAGAGCTATTTGCATTATGAGCCATCCCATTCCAAACACGAATGACTCCCACTCGGTGCAAATTATTTTGCCTCAGAAGCAGCTGGGACGCAAATCGGACATGTAAGTGAATAAGCTGTTTGTTAATCTTATTTGTGAAGCTTTATTTACCTTCTTTTCTCCTCTTTCCATTATTTCTAAAAGTTAGTGTTTTGGAAATTTCCCCAGAAGGGTTGTTCAAGCTCCTGCATTTTCTGCAATGTAGTTATCATCGTAATATTGATTTTTTTTTTACCTATTCTCATTTATATCAAGTATTTGTGTGTGTGTGTGTGTGTGTGTGTGTGAGAGAGAGAGAGAGAGAGAGAGAGAGAGAGAGAGAGAGAGAGAGAGAGAGAGAGAGTAGTATATATATAGTATATATATATAGTAGTACGTAGTACGTACGTAGTACTAGTACGTAAGTAGTAAGTAGTACGTAGTACGTATATACGTATACGTAGTACGTACGTACTAGTACGTGTACGTACGT